ATATTAATAAACTTTATAAATACTAATATATTATTATATATAGTTATAGTAATTTTTCTAGTAATAATAGCTAGCTATTAAGTAAAAAGTATTCTTTTTTCTAGTATATCTAATTTTATTATATAGCTTTTTAATAATAATCTTTCTTTATTTTTAATTATTAATAATAAGCCAAAATAAATATATTTTAGATACAACTTTCTATAATAATTAATCTCTTATATTATAATTCAAAGCCTTTTTATTTAATTTTCGAAACTTAGTTCTTAATATTCTTTTTAGTCTAGAAAGTATTATAAGATATTATATAATATTCTAATATTATTTAAAATAGCTATTATTTAGGAAATCTAATAAAAATATTAGATTATTAAATAAAGTATAGGAATTAGTATTATTTATTTACTATTTTGCTAAAGATTATATATAAAAGGCTATAGCCTTTATTATATAACTTCCGGATATTATTATTTTTTAATACTACTAATTTGCTTCTAGATATAATAAGACTTTAATTATTAATCTCTAGTAACTAGATTGCATTATTTAAATATTTAGTAAAGGTTTTGGGAATCTGATTTCTTAAAATAATATTATATAACTAAACGGGAATAATTTCTTTTAATTAAACTTTCTATCTAATAAATACTATTCTAATAATATTAAGCTCTATTACTAGCTATTTATTAATATTCTTATTATTTTTAGTATTATCTTCTTATTATAGGTATTTCAATAATTTATTAATAATACTATAGTTAATTCCTTTAATATACTTGATTTTAAAATTAAATAGTTAAATTTATACTAGCTAGTAAATAACTAGAGTTTTAGAAAAATTTGTAGCCGCTTTATTTAGCTATATAATAAATATATTAGTATTTATTTCAAGGATAAAATAAATTCTATATAGCTAGAATTATACTTTTTATAAATATTTTATTAGTTTTCTATATTTTCTTTTAATAATATTATATTTTTATTTAATATTATTATATTTTTATTTAATATTATTATATTTTTATTTAATATTATTATATTTTTATTTAATATTATTATATTTTTCAGACTTATATTATATAACTCTCTTTTTTCTTCTATTATTATATTAGCTAAGAGTTCTGCCGTATTTATTTAGGCTAGTATTTATTACTAATATAATTATTTCCTAACTTTCTAATAAATTATAATATAACTTATAAAATATTAAAATAATAATAAGCTTTTTTTAAAGAATTTATATAGCTTATACTTATTTATTATTCTATTTCTATATTATATCTTTTCTTATTAAGTAGTAAATAAATTTAGTAATAATTATAAAGCTTTTAATCTAAATATAATAATAAATAATAATTCTAATAAATGCTTTATCTTTAATTATACTATTATAATATTTTTATTTTAAGATCTTAGTAATTCCTAAGCTCGAGGAACTTCTTTTGAATATTCTATAAATAAAGCTAATAATAATTATATTATTATAATAGAACTATAATTTTTCTCTAATATTAGTTCCGGCTTATTTAATTTTATTTTAAGTTATATTTAGGTTTTATAAATATTTAAATATAAAATACTAAATACTAGATAAAATAAGCTATTTATTATAATTTATATAAGGTCTCTTAATTCTAATATTATTAATAAATAATATAGTAATTTTAGGAAATAAATTCTCTAAAATAGTTATAATAATTTATATAAATTATATAATAGAATTAGTAATTTCCTGAAATAATATAGTTATTTCTAATAGTTTTAAAAGTATTATAAATATAATTAAATCTTTATTATAAATATCTAATATAAGTTAATTATATCCGGAAAAGAAATTAATTAGAGAAATATAAATATATCTATTAAATTTCTTTAAGATCTTATTAGTAAATAGAAATATATTAGTATTTTTTAAGATTACTAAATTCATTTTTATAATAGTATTAATTAGTCTATAAGTTCTAATAACCTTTTTTATAACCAAGAACTATAGATTCTAATAAGATCTATTATATTTTTTAAGAACTTTATAGTCTAGATATTCTAATAGTATTTTTACTATTACTAGTATTAGAGCTTTGAAATATAGGAAATTCTTTTCTTACTAGGCCTTATATTTAATAATATTAATTAGAATAAATATACTAATATTTTTATAAACTTTCTCTATTTCTTTCTAATTAAATATAATAGTACTTTTTTAGTTAATTATTAATTTTCGGAATATAACTAGTTTCTTTTCCTAAAGCTAGTTACTAATATCTAATTATTTAAAACATTCCGGAATAAGCTATAAATCTCTTAAAATAGCTAATATTTTTAATAAAAAATAGTTTTTATATTTTCTAATATACTTTTATAAATATTCTCTAGTCCTAAATCTTTTAAACTAGTCCGGATATTTACTAGTTAAATCTTTTTATTTTTTATTTTATATATTCCTATAACCAGAAATAGATTATAGTTATTATCTTTTTTTTTAAGAACTATAACTATTTTCTCTAGTACTTTTTTTATCTAATTTCCGGAGTTTATAATCTTTTTATTTAGCTCTTTTCTATTTAAATATAAAGAATATCTTTTTATCTAATATTTTAATATACTTTTCTTAAGCTTTTATATATTTTAAAATTCTTTTTAGTTTTAGATTCCAGATTTTATAGTTTTGAAAATATATTTCTTTATTATTAAAAAATACTATTTTTTTTTTTTAGAAATATTTTCGTTTAATATCCTTTTTATTTCTTTTTCTATTAAATCCGGAACTACTTTTAATAATACTTTAACTAGAGTCTTTTTTAGTTTAGTTTTTCTAAAAATATTATTAATTTCCTAAATTCCTAAACCTAAAATAAAAGAATTAGTAAGAAATTCCGGTATTTTCCTATTTCCCCTAATATTATTATTAGTTATAATATTAGACTCTATTTTTCCTTTTTATTTTTAGTTTCCTATTCTATATTACTTAATTTCTTAACTTTAAAAACTTGATATTCTTAAATTATTACTTTTTTTTATTTCTTAATATTTTTTAAAAATAGAATAATTATAATAATATAAATATTCTAGTTATTTTTAGAGTTAATAAACCTTTTATCTTATAAATTATTACTCTTATATATAATATTTATTTTTATTTTTATTAAAAATAATTAATTAAATAAGATTTTTAGAGTTTTTTTAACTAGAAAAAATGTATTTTTATATTCTATTCTATTTATAACTTTAGCTCTAAACTTTATTATTTCTGCAAATTCCAATTCAGTTCTAATAATAGTAAATATTTAATAATTTATAGTATTATATATTATTTTATTAATATTTCTAAAAATCTTTTTAGAAAAAATATTAATTTTAGCTCTAGTATTAACTATTTCTTTATATTTAATATTCTCTTAAGATCCTTGAAATATAAATCAGAGATATAAAGATTATATAATATATTTATAAGCTAGTAATATTCGAATATTAATTCTATTAGTATTAGATATCTAAACTAGTATTTCTAATTCCTTAAATATTTTATCTATTATATAAGCTATAGCTACTAGCTTTATAAATTTCCTAATATATCTAATTATATTTAATATAATAATATTTCCTATTTATAAGATAATAAACTAGGAAATATTATCTCTAATTTATTAATTCTAAAATATAATAACTAGATCTAGTATTTTTACAATATTAATAAGTATTCTTATTTCTTTCTAAATCTTTAGAAGTAAAATAGTTACTTTTTTTAATAATTTTATTAGAGTATTATTAATTTTAGGAATTTTATATTTATTATATTTAAGAGTATATTAGGTTCCTAATTCGTTTTATTTATTTCCGGAAATATTAATATCTATATTCTTAATTAGACTATTTCCTTATTTATTACTTTTTAGAATAGTATTCTTTTAGTTTCTTATATAAAATAGCTTTTCTTTTATTCTGGCTTGTTTTTAGAGAATCTCTTTAGCTATTTCTATTTCTTTTCTCTTTTTTCTTAATAAGGAACTTATTATAGTATTAATAGAAATACTATTTATAGCTAAATCTTAGTACTATTTATTAATTCCAGAACTTAAAATATTAGTAATTCTAATATAATTTCCTTTAAGGCAAAGCGGCTATTTAGATTCTTTAGATATAACTTACTTGCTTCTTATAATAACTAGTATTATATAATTAGTTTTAGCTAAAGGAGTTAGTTTTAGCTAAGGTTCTAAGCTATAATTCAAACCAAGCTCGCTTCTAAAGCTCGGCGTTTTAGTAGTCTTAGCTATACCTACTTATCTACTACTATACCTTACTCTTTTCTCCTTAGCTTTAAATTCTTAAAATATAGGAAATTATTAATCTTTAAGCCTTATTTCATTACTCTATTCCCGCTATTATATTATTTAAAGCTCCTATATTCTCAGTAGCAGATATTAGTATTATAAAGCTTATAACCTTCTATTTATCCGTTATTATTCTATCTGATTAATAGAGTACCGCTCCTAATACCCTCTATCTATCTGGCTTGGTAGAGTACTATACTGTTCCCAAGTACTCATTCTGTCTGTCCGGCCTACTAGAGGATATTCCTATTTTTATGATTTTTTAGTACTAACTTTACCGATATTCCCTTGAGAATGGACCCTATCCTCCAATCCCAGGTTTAATACGAGTTCGATAGCCTATACTCGGAAATCGCTATTCTGCAAGTAGCTCTTGCGAAAACCCAAGCTTCCCGGCCCTGTCCAAAGCTCCCTGATCCTGAGAAGTTTACTAGAAGCACCTATAAATTCGATACTTAGTTACCTTCTATTAAAGTAAAGCTAGCTATTAATAGTACGGTAATTAGAGATACTATAGCTCAATTCTACTATGTTTACCTAAATCTTGATTCGTCTGTCTAATCCATGGTTTTGCTATAGCTTTCTTATACGAAGTATACTTAATTATAGGACTACTAAACGATCCTGGATTAGGTTTTACGGGTATATAATAATCCAAACAAGTAATCGGAGGCTAAAGACAAGCTCTATGCCCTCCGCCATGGCAATGATTCTTTACTGGCCTATATTACCAAGTTTGAACGCATCCTATATAAAGCGAATAGTTAAAGCTAGCCAGATATTAATAAAATATCCAGCTTTCGCAATCGCCTTAACTCCGCAATTCGCTCTCGTTTGGCCTAATAGCTTGTTCTTCCTAGGGTTTATGCCGATTTCCTGTATACGGTTCAGTAGCTCTCGTTAAAAATAGCCGCTCTGCCGTACCAGACTACTCCCAGAATTGCTAGCGATCCCATGGATGTTAGTAAACTGACAATTAGTACTATTACGTTAATCCCAGTACCTATCCGCCAGGACTATCGAAAATCTGGCCAGTGCTTTAGATGCGGTTCCTACGGCCACTAGGTAAAGAACTGTATCTGGCTACCTAAAGGCACTTCCTCTGGTTCTGGTTCTGGCGAACGGGTTATAATTACTATAGTAAACGATAATTACTCTGGTATAGAGAGTAATAACGATTCTGGAGAGGGTTGCGAGCTTCTACTGGGGCTAGATTGGACAAAGCTAATTGCTAGGAAATAGGGTCCTTTTCCTTTATTCTATTATTTTTACTATACTCGCTTTAGCTTTCCCTTTGTTCTCCTATACTCTCATGGATTCTGATACTCGGGACGAGCTTTTTGGAAGGGGGGGTAATATAACGGCTAGTATTACATGATTGGTTTTAGCCAAAGGGGTTGGTTTTAGCTAAGGTTCCAAGCTATAGTTCAAACCAAGCTCGCTTCTAAAGCTCGGCGTTTCAGTGGTCTTGGCCATACCTACTTATCCACTGCCATACCTCACTCTTTCCTCCTTAGCTTTAAATTCTCAAGATATAGGAAATCATTAATCTTTGAACCTCGTTCTATTACTCTATTCCTGCTATTATACTTCTATATATAAATCCCGGTTAGCTAGTTCTCTTATTTCTTTTTTGCTTAGTAAACTAGATATTTCTTATTATTCTCTAGATATTCTTGGGTTATATTTTCAAGTTATAATTAAATTCTCTTCCTCGGACTTGAGAAATAATTTAGTTAAACTACTAGTATTTACTAGTAAGGAAAAAGAAAATACTTTCTTATTTAGGCTTAAATAGCTCTTTATACTACCTTCTATTAAATTAATAAATACATTTATAATTTATAAACTCTTTTATTAATAAATAATAGAATCAAGAAATATAGATATATTTTAGATTAATATTATTATTCTTATTTCTATTATAGTATTTATAGCAAATTTGTTTTCTCGGTTCTAGGTCTATATTATAAGCTATATTAACTTAAATAGTATTTTCTAATTATATTTAAAACTAACTTTTTCTAGAATATAATTACCTAAACCCTTAGCCTATTTTAGCTTAATTACTATAACTATTATAGTATTTTCTATAACTTTTACTATAATTTCCTATATATTTTTCCTAAAAACCCGAATTATATTTACTAAACTATTAATACTATTATTTCTATTATAATTAGCTATACTAAGTTATTTCTATAGGTTCTTTTAAGTTATAATAGTAATAGATAGTTTTTTTAAACTCTTTATTAGCTAGTTAATATTATTTCCCTTAGATTTACTACTTTTAATAGGATTTATATAATTAACTATAGGTTGGGTTCTTTTTTTATTTATATTTATAATAGCTTTAGAAAATATAATAAAAAGAACTAATAGAAAGTAATTATTTTCTGGTTTAGAAATTATATTATAAACTATTATATTCAAGTATTCTTATCTAAATCTAAATATATCTAGATTATTAGTAATATTAAAATAGTATTTCTTTTGTTTATACTAATAGAATATTATTATTTTCTTATATATCTTATTATATTTATAAATAAAAACATTTATAGGCTTAAAGTTTATATTTTTAAAAATATAATCTTTTATTAGAATAAATAATTCCCTTATAAATTCTCGATATTAAGTAATTTTATTTATTTTTTTCCTCTTTAGTAACTTCTTTAGTATTTTATTAAATATATTAATATAAGACTTGAATAAGATCTCTCTATCCTAGACTTATATAATAATCTAATTAAGAAAATCACAGCTAATTTTAAGTATTTCCCAGTTATACTTTCGGAATTCCTTTAATAAGGCCTTAAAGAACTTGGTTTCCTAGTAATTTCCTGGGTTATTAATATAGTATTCTAATATAGCTTTAATCTAGTTCTTATAAATAAGAGAAATATAATAGATAATTTTCTTTCTTTTAATATTATTAGAAATATAATAGTTTTTATATATATTTATATACTATTTCAAGAATATGGAAATATTACTTTCCTAAAACTATAATATTCTAAAAGCTCTTATAAATAGTAGGTTTAAACCCGGTATTAATATATATTTATTCTTAGTTATATTAATCTCAATAATTTCTTCTATAATTAATTATAATATTTCTATATTTGAGGCTTTTACTAACGAGATTTCTAAAAGACTAACTTCCCGTTTAAGTATATCTTTTGGTTTAAAAACCGGGATTTAGGAGAAACCGGTTAATAATAATAGATATAGTCTAGATTTAAGTTTTAGTATTAATAGTAATAAAGTAATAGCTTTTCTAATCTTATTTCTATTACTTATATTTTCTTTTCTATTCTATTAGCTTAATATCTATAATATTTTCTCTTACTTTTACTAAACTAGATATATCTAATAATACTATTAATAAATATAATAAAAATAATAATAATAAAAACAATTTTTCTAATTTCGCTCTTTTCTCTAATTTCTCTGAATTTTTCTTATTATCTCTATTTAGTAACCTCTCTTTTTTCTAGAGGCTTCTCTAATTTATCTATATGATTTTTTATTTCCGATTTTCTTTTAATTCTTTCCGATTTCTATTTATTATCTTATTTGAAATTAAGGGCATTTCCTAATTCGGGCACTTTCTTTAGACTTAGAAATAAGCTTTATTATTAAAATTAAAGCTACTTTAATTCCGGCTTTTACTATAACTAAAAATAATATATAAATTAATAGTATAACTTTATTTCTATATACTAAAGTCTGTTTCTAACTAAGGTCTAACTTATATTATTTTAATATAATATTTCTTATTCTATTTTCTCTATATCTTTTCTTTCTATAATTAGCCTTTATTCTTATTATTCCTATATATTATACCGGTAATTATATCTTGCGGCCAACCCGTATCCAAGTTACTAGGTATATCGGAAATTAATATAAGATACTGAAATTAATACTTATATATTCTTAATATTTCGGCCTTAGGCTCAAGGTATTATAATAGCTCTTTTCTCTCCAAACTTACTAAGCTAATAATTCGCCTTATAGAAACCCCTCAGAACTTTATAAGAGTATTACCTTAACTATAAAGTTTTGATTCTCCCTATAATACTTACTATAAAATATATGAAAGAGAAACTATAATAAGACAAAAACCCATATAAAGTATACTAGAGTATAAAACGTAACTTAATAGTAAAATAATAAGATTAAAAGTATAAATAGTAAAGTATAAATAGTATATAGTAAAGCTCAATTAATTGAATATTAAGGAGGGATTATTCTCTAGGACTACAGAAAAACCAGCTTTCTTATGTGATTCCCTCAAGTCACGTGCAAAAGTCCGCGGCCTTTGCCATGTAACCAAAACCTCAAAACCGCCAAAATAATATGATTTTTGGAGAGTACGGCTTGCCGTACCACAATAGCTATAAGCTTTTAAAAACCTAATAATATATAATTGTTTTAGTACCTAATTTATAGCTGTTTGCCCGTTATTTAATATCGAGTTATTAACTATACGATTTTGGTAAGGGAGCTTCTCGCTAACGTGTGTTTTTCAAAACCGCCTTGCTTACGTGCCCGCTTTTCAGGCATTTAACCTTTGCAGCCTTGGCGGGAGACAAACAGTATAGCACCTCCTCCGCCTCCCAAGCGAGACATCGCGTCCCTTCTCACTTCCGTCTCGATCTCCAAAGAGAATACAGACTGCTCTATCTGCACGAGGAAATACGGCACCATAAGCCAGGATGAAGATGACGACGAGAATAGTGAGATGCCCTGCAAGCTGCGTTGCTGCGGACACGTTGTTGGGAGGCAGTGTACGGAGATCGCGGCATAAAGTATCGGGAATGCAGGGCATTTGTGCTGAAAGTCCACTATAGAGCTCATTTCTGGCACACTCAACCGCTATAAGCCTCTATATTTCTAGGCTATTACCCTGAAAATACCCTATAAGCAGTCAACAAGGGGTGGTACACCTTTTAAAGCCTTCTCCCCTGTCGTTACAGGGGCTACCTCGCTAAAGAGCCCTATAATTGCTCTCCCTACAGCGTCCGAGCGCTATAGTTGCTCTGCCAGCAGCGCTAACACCCCTGAAGATCTTCCACAACCTTGCGAATGTCTCACAGGGTGCTTTCAGGGCGTATAGCCTAGAGTTACAGGGCCTTATAGCGGGCTCAGCCCCTACTATTACACGCTATAGTGGGTTTAGAGTCCCAACGCGCTGTATTCCCGATACTTTATGCCGCGATCTCCGTATCACGCGATGGCTTGCTGATAATGACACTTGTTCGTTTTGCCGGGGGGATCCTGCGAAAGAAAAGGGTCCTCAAGGGCGGATAGTTTTGAAACGGACATATCCCTCGAGTGCTAGCACACATTGACTCAAACTTGAAGTTTGAGAGGTTTGCGATGGCTCAACACCTCCTCGTGGTGCAGACTGGGTACCTTTACGTCTCCTTTTGAGACTAGAGAGCCAAGATTGAGTCCCTGGAGTAGTGAATGAAAGATTATTAACCCTTTGTAATCACTGATCCCCGGAATCTTTGCCCAGTGTATCGTATCGAATAGTGACCTCTGCTTAATCCATTACTGAACTTCTATGTATGGTTCGATAACTAATAAGCTTTTGTATATAACGTAGGTTGGTGGTGGGAAGGCAGTGCGTTGGAAAACACTATGGCTGCGGACATGTTAGAAGGATGACGTCTTTTTATGGGTTCACGATCAGCACTAGTAGACAGGAGGATCAGGCACAAATAAGTCTTTCATAGCTATTCTATGCATTTACTTTAGTAGACAACATTGCGAGGAGGGCATCCTCCGCTCCATTATCACCCGCGAAATCCAGTGGCGTTCTCCCATGGATGTCTTGAACGTCCATTTCAGCGCCACGCTCCCTTAGCAACCGGATAATATTGCCGTTTCTTGATGCCGCAGCCCAGTGCAATGCAGTTTGACCTTCCTCATTCCGCACATGAGGACTCACTCCCGCCTCAAGAAGCAAGGTCGCTACCTCCTCGTGTCCTTTGGATTCCCCACCGCTCATGGAAAGCCATTCCCGCGATGTGGGAAGGTTGTTCTCCGAGCTGTATTTGACCCCATGGATCACGACTGCTCGGTTCCCACTACAGGCGGCCCAGTGCAAAGCGGTCCACCCGTTTTGGGACTGACATCCGGCATCGACACGGTCGTCCGAGAACAGTATCTCGACGACGGACTGGTGCCCGCGACTGGCCGCCCAGTGAAGGGCGGACCGGCCATTGCGGGTTTGCTCAGCCGGGTTTGCTCCACTGCGTAGCAAATCCGCTATAACGTTAGAGTGGCCGTGCTTGGCAGCCCAATGAAGGGGTGTCCGCCCGTCGATCGTCTTCACGTTCGGATCCACCCCTTCTCGCAAGATGGCCCTCACCACGTCGCTGAAGCCGCCTCTTGCTGCCCAGTGCAGTGCCGTTCGGCCTGTGGCGTCTGTTGCGCCTGGGTTAAGTCCTTGCTCTAGCAGGAGCTGTACAATTTCTCGAGCTCCGAACCGAGCGGCCAGTTGAACAGGTAGGTTCGAGCAGGGATGCATGTCTGCAACTCGCTCACCGTTGTTTTCCTCACTATCTAGGATTTGCGCCACCAAGGCGACACGATGGTAATTCTGGAGAAATTTGAGTGCAAGTCCTTCCATGTCCCTGTCGTACCCGTCTTTGACATGGATGCCCCAATATTGCGCTGTGTATCTCAAAAGAGGGTATGAAGAGAGGAGTCCGGTGAGTTGGTCCCCAGACAGATTTACGCTGCACGCCATGTTTTCCAGCCCCAGGTAGGCAAGACACACCCTCGCTATCTCTCGCTTTGCAAGTGAAAACCACTGCTGGTAGGTGGCCTGGAAATACTCGTGCAGAGAGTAGTGTGCGAATCTGACAGCGCCGCTTTCAGTATCAAGGACAATAAGGCCGGCGCAGACGTCCACGACAAGGCTCCGAGACGGAATGTTCTCCTCACTTAAACTCAAAACGGATGATGAATCAACTGCGAGGACGTGTAGTAGCTCGTTGATAGATAGTGGTCGCCTCGTATGATAGATCCACGATAAGGCAGTCATTGCGATAGATTTTCTTTCGGGGGATTCAAGCTCGATCCTCCCCATGGATTCCTCATACGCTGTTTCGAGGCCACTCGGGAGTATTTTAAGAGCTCTTCTAACCTCAGATCGGCGGGTTAGGTGAGTTAGGCGGGTGCACTGCAACGTGGCGAGCAAGAACCTACATAGGTCAGCGGCCCGTATCAAGGGAGCCTCGGAGGTCGAATCACTTACATTCTGTCGGCTTGGTCCACTACCCGCTGCACAGCCTCCTCTCTCAAATCGTTCACTATGAACTCAGCAAGTTCATCGCTTGCACTAATTGTGTGCTCAACGTAGGACCTGATATCCGACGGATCACTCCTCACTTCAAGTTCAATGTATTCGCCGAATGTACGGCCTACATCAGCAACATGCGGGCGACTAATAATAAGTATTCTCGCGCCTGCTTCGGCAAGATTTTTAAGGAGGGACATGATCCCTCGTCTTTGTGACGCAGGACCATACTCGTCGAGAGCATCTAGCAGAATATAAACATGGCGCTTATCGAGACAGAGGTGGTGAAGCAGGCTCGTAATATCATCCAGCTTCAAATTGTCTCGACCATAACCGAGCGTTTTATACAGGTCTTCCAAAGCGAGTGGTATGGACGGCTCTGTCTCTACGAGTTGCCGAAGTAGCGAGGCTGCTACCGCGGTCCCGGCCTGCACGCAGGATGCTTGGTAGTCGCAGTAAAAATATGCGACGCAGGTGATCCGAGAGAGATAATCCGCTATGAGAGACCTGAAAGAGCGTTAGAATTCTGGGACTCTGTGGAGGTTAGCTGTAATACATTATTTGGGTTTTTCCAACACCTGCTGCATGTTGAAATCCAGGGGGTTAGCAAGCTAGTTGAAAGTGAATTTATACTCTTCTGCACTTACGATTTCCATAACACCAAAATACTCGTGTTTCGCTTCCAGTCCAACTTTGGAATTCAGGCGTGGCGAATATCCACTGTCCCGTGTTGGGATGATGCCCCGAAATCAGCTTCGTGTGTTTCCGCCTCGCAGCATCATCGGATATCCAGTCGAGAATTTTGAGCCTTTGTGCTTCTAAATCCAAGAAAGTGGGTCATCAGCATATCGATCGTTAATCTTCAACTAGGAACAGCTAACCTTTCTGCTCTGTGTCAATTTTGCATCTTATATTTCTGACTTCCTCTAAGGTCATCAACTGAAGTCTCCTAACACAATTTATAGTCAATGAAGCTGAGCAAGCACGGCACACTTATCGTCTTAGGATTTGGACTTACAGGCCACTGAGAACAACAGCAGCCTGAATGCATTGTCGGCACCGACCCAGGCTGCTAGCCCATTGAGCAGTCTCGTCATCCCGGAACGGCCATACGAGGCTCTTCAACGCCTCCGACGTTCTATTTCGCTGTGCGTCACGAAGCCTCTCGCAGAGTTGCTCCATCTCAGCGTGGAACTCGCCGAGTTCCCGGGGCAGGGGCATGCTGAGCGACTGTGATTGGAAGAGCAGCGCATCCTGGGCGTCAGCCAGCAGCTTTTTTAGGCACACTAGTTCTTCAAGATAAGATGTTGCTGCTGACGACAAACTGGTCACTCTTGAGATATATCCTTGCGTGGCCTGGGTGATCTGGACCGTCAGGCTAAGTAGCCCGGCGATCGCGGAGGCGGCATTCAAGGTGTTATCCATGGGTAAGATTGGGTAGGGACCAAGCCTTGGTCATTACAAACGAGTAAGGCACATCACCCAGGGGACAATTCGACAGTATCATCTTGTGGGGCAAGACTTGGGCAGGTAGACGAGGGGCGGGGACGGCAAGAGAAGAAAGATTTCCTGATGTATTGGGTTGCCTTCGCTCTCTCGCCCATCAATAAGGCAACTGACGCTAAGAGGAAAGGCAATACCCGTGGCCCGTGCTCAGTATGAAGCCTAATCTTAATAGGCCACAGATCTTAGTTTTCTGGCACTAATACTTTTCTAAGACATTCACCAAAAAAATTACTAAAATATACATTTAAAGCTATTTCTAATTATTAAAATAAAGGTTTCCTTATTACCTAAAAAAAAAAGGCTAGTATGGCGAGATTTGCAGGATGTCATCACGTGAAGCAAGTCATGTGACTCAAGCGTAGCAGGACAAAAGCGCGCCTTGCGGACAGCTTAGCCATCCTCCTCTTTAGCTAAAATGCATCGGCGTTTGCACTCTCCATTATTATGGTTGTGTTCTTCTCTAAATCAGTCAACTTGCAGCTTTACTTAGGCTCTGCTCTCTTGAAATTAACCCTGGCTCACTTGTTCGCTTACCTGCTTTTTCGACTTCGCAATAGCCATGGAAAAACGAGGTCTCATCGGCGGTATCGTAGGCGCATATAAGGGTCACCGGCTACTCAAATTAAGCAGCAGCAACTTATATCCATGCACGACAATAAACATTGCTGAGGGTAGCAAATTTTACTGTTTTAAGGATCTCTGCGTTTTGTAGCTTAACACCTATCAAGCAGGTATGGTATTCGATAACAAAAGTCTAAATATTCTCTCATAAACAACACTACAAGTGTACTTAGTGCTATGTATAAGAGGACCCTGCATAATCAAGGAGGGGGACAATCATTAAAGCGGCGCGACACTATGTCTGCTGAGTTCTCCAGCAGCAGCCGAATACAAGCAAGAACCCGCTCATAATCATCACTGTATCGCTCGAATTTGACCAAGTCGGAATGATTGCGGTCGATGGCTATGACGAAGCGTGAATCCATCTCCCATGGACGGCCATGAGTTGCGGAATCTTTATCAACCAGAACCATTAGATCTCCGTTCATTGCCAGTTTTCCATTTACCTGGCAAACGGAGTTAGCGAGTGAAAGAACACCAGATTTAAACGAGATGTACTAACCATCGTCGCTGTGGGTGTCACACGAGTCTCATAAAACGAAAATATTATGGAGTCGCGGAAATCAAACAGGGGCGGGAAAGACTCGGACTGTTGCTTGATAAACGGAGAACCGATACTGAGTGAGTTAATAAAGTCGCGGTTGGCCTGCGCCTCCATCATTGTGACCAATGATGTATTCTCCATTCCACAATTTGGGACGCCAAAGAACAAGGCGCCACGAGTTGACTTAAAGTTGCATTGATCTATTTCGTCACCTTTGCTCAGCAAGATTAAGAGCTAACTTAGTTTAGCAGTCAATGTTCTAGGGGAGTACACACATAAAAACTTGCCTGTTTGATCAAAATCCCACCCAAGCTGTGGCCGACGAAAATTATCGGCCGCATACACAACGTTGCCTTAAAAGGGTAAGTAGGTTTCGTTGACTTCTAATTCTCCTTTTCGAGCTACTTACTTGCCGTATGGCTCGCAGAGACATTCTTAGTTGACCCGCCAAATCCTGAATCGTCTGGAAAGACTGGCTATTTTCAAGGTGGGTATCATATCCGTAGATGAGGATCCTGGCTGGACCCAATTTTAGGGCTTCTTGAACGGACTTCTGCAAATCTGACGGAAGCGAGTCTTCTAGCCACATATGCATTCCACCCCGCTCTTTGAATGAGCCGTAAGCATGTCCACCCAAGCCAGGTATCGCAATAATACTGCAACCATCACATTCAGCGAACTGTGCTTTGTCTAAAGGCGGAGGTGTACGTAACTTACTCGGCAATACGTGCTGAGGTATATGTGGAGAGTAGTCCTAATTCCGAAAATCCATAGAAATGAGAGTCGAAAATAAGCTGAATGGGTTTTTCATGCAACTTTTTGGGCGTCGCTTCCTGGTTTGGCAGCTTAACTTGTATGAGCCATTCCATTTTTGTGTTGGGAGTCAGCACCTCGCCGTGAGAGTCGAGTGATACTATGGCCATTCTTTCGGGCCTGTAGGGATTTTGTGTATAGGAATGAACCCTTGCAGAATCTTCCCTTACTGCAATGGAAGCAGACACTATCCCAATGAAGAAAGGCCTACTCCAGAAAAGAGGAAGTCCGCGAACTCTATACACCTTTCTCGACGCAGAGCCGGCCTTGACCGCCGCAGTTGATTGCTTCAACGTCTTGCTCTGGTTATCGAGTGATTTGCTGAGAGCTAGTGAGGCGCCCGGAGAGGATATATCTGGGTCAGAGATGTACCTCAAGATCTCTTCATCGTTCATGGCGTGAAAATCTGACGCCGGCGGAGATTTTCCCTTGGCAGTCTGGCCGTCGAAAAGAAGTGGATCGTCGCGAGACCAGGGGAGGTTTCTCATTTTCAGGCCAAATCCTGTTGTTGCCTTAACGTCAACGACGGCGAGAAAGGGTCCTGGATACGTCACAATAACGGCTAGTCTGATCGGTTCAGAAATGCCAGTGACGCTGCCCTCAGCCTCGGTCACACTCCACAAAACTTCGTGTGCATCATGACTAGTCTTGCGAGACCACGTCCTCCCTCGAATCCAAAACTCTTGTATTGGCCAAGGCGATTGCCTTGCCGATTGGCTTGGATTTAAGGCGGAAGTAGAGGCGGATGGAGGGGCATGACTTCGATTGCCTTTGAGGGGATCTGTGAGTGAAGGTGTTTTTCGATTGTTCGTTGGGTGCCACGATTGCACGATAGGGGGCCCTACACTCGGCAGCCTGGTAGAAGAATGGCTTCGGGATTCAAAGCGTATCGAAATCTCGGAGCTCTGATATCTGCGAGACCTCTCCTTTGCGCGAAAGCTGAATTGCATCACCAGAAGGGCTGCCGGCTGGCTACCCCAAGATCCGTATGCCACTGAAAGGACACCTCCGATGAAGCCGAAGCCAAAAGCCTCGACATGCGTAATCTTGGTTCGCGTGCTGCTCTCGTCGAGATTATGCTGTGCCAGAGTGCTTGATTCGTCTTTCTCGAACTCTCGATCCCGGGTTTCCCAGCTCTTCAAAACTTCCTCGGCGGAAGTCTCGACATCCAGGGGCTGCTGGTCCATCTCCATCAAACAGGGCGTCTCTGCTAGGCACTATTTGAGAGAGGAATTGTCACTGAGATCCTCAAACGATGAGGTGGGATACGACAATCGATTTATTGAGCTTAGGTTGGAAGAGCTCTTTGGTGGCATGGACCCGTTGACGTCTACCCTTCAGCGGCTGCTGCTTTGTTGCCTTAGGAGAGTCCACTAGTCAACTGCTCACACTTCTCAACCACACAAACTCCAATTTACTCTCAACAATGACCAAAATCGGCCAAAACAAGCTTATATTCGTAACCAGTAATCCATTATATTCATTTCTTTTTTTTGGGGGAATTTCCTGAGCTCTTTCAAAACCTCCCTTTGTTTGGTGTTCCTATCCCTGTAAAATTGCGTGGTTGGCTATCAGAATTCTTCTACTAGTTAGGCTGCAGCATTAAAATAACTTCTTCAGACGATTCGCAACTACCTACCTTCAATTTCGAAGGCACTTTCTGAACATTCTTTCTGCGTTGTTTGTTCGAATTCTCCACTTTGCGCGATGGATGTCCATGATGTCGACGACGTTTTCCAATCCATGCACCCGGCTGATACGTGGGAGATGCTGTGCGACGTGGCCGGCGGCACCGAAGGCTTGGGCACCAACTTTAAATCGAGCCTTGTTAACAACCTGCTCATGATTACGGGGAATGATTCGGTCGAGCAGGACAGTCCAATTATTTGCGATAGATGCAAGAAGGTTAGTCTCCACGTCGTGTGATTGACCACTGTGGTAAACTTGAAGCGCGATATGACAACCACTTACTGACGATAATAGAAATTGTGTGGACTGCAATTTCATTGCTCACGGTGCCCTGATTTCGACGTGTGTGCTAGTTGTCTTGACAACGAGCTCAAGGGTCATCCTCGGGGGCATAACTTCCAACTTAGGCACCAACCCCCTTCCGCCATCCCGACGGATGGGAGTGACTTAGATGACCTTCAGCAGCTTGCGGAGAATGGTAACCAACGTCATAAGCCTCAAGCTCTCTACGTTGCTTGCCTCATTGATCAGATGAAATTTCTCAGCGAAGCTTCTAGAGACCGTTATATCAAGGCAGAGGTCGAACGTGCAACAAACTGGAAAAGGCTGTACTCGCTGTATAGTCGGTTTGAGAATTGTGTTTCGAAACTCGCTGCGAAAACCAGCGCTGATGGGATCCCTGTACCACCCGCAATGACTTCCTTCCAGGAGATGCTTGAAAAGAACTGGAATACGGGAAACGCGCAGGAGACGGCATTCATTACACATCAGGCTGATTTTGATCTGGCAGATTATTCCCATTATATTGACAAAAGGAGACTTGGCAACGTATTACAGAAATTCGTTGGAGAGTTCATGCTTGGTGGAGGGCCAGGCGAATCGGACCATTTTCTCTACTCTGGGTTTCCCTCAAACCACGAGCTGCCGTCCACTCCAATTGAAACAAAGGTTGGATAGCAGGATGAAAGCTTACTTTACTCAGATGGCTAACAGGATCCCAGGATGAAGTGGACGGATCCTTGGCGTTTAGTGCAATAACCGTAGAAGGCACCGCGCAATACCAGTGGGAATATCTTAGACCCAGAGACGAGGTTGTACCAAGCTCCATAAGTTTCTAACTCCCAAATGCTTGCTTAGCTGATCCGTGTTACTCTAGCTTGACCTGGGCAGAGATATGCGGAGCTTCCACCATCGGGTGGTCGACATGGTGTCCCTATTTGCGAAAAGGCCCGATCTCTGGAACCCCGTGAGTCGTGTTCTGCCTGCACTGGTTTTTTATTTAGACTTACGAGCATTAGGACAGACGATTCTCAATCAACATGTCAGAACATACTTGGCTTGCGGCCTCGGATGACCCACTGCAACGCGCACAACTGTGTCGTCGTGTCGGTCGGTTCAAGGAAGCGCTTACAGTTCTGTCTAACGATGATGCTATGCGTGCAGACACAATATTTGAGAGATTCCGTACCTTCGAGGAAATGGGTGACCTGCGTAACTGCATAGAATGTGTTGAAGTCTTCCACCAAATCTTACAGAATTCCGGCCAAGACACCAGCGGTCCTGAATACTTCCTCCTTCAACTCGCTGTTGCATATGTGGCGTGTTTTGTCAAAGGAGAGTGGGGAAACGCAATGGATCTAGCTCTTCTAGCCTACAACAAGTACCTCGCCAACAGGACTTCATACAATGTCATCATGGTAAGTTGTCTTAAATGAGGCACTCTAGAGCCAGCAAACTGACGTCCGGTAGGTCAGGATTGAAATATATTACCACAAGATTTGGATTGCTGTCAGTCGGGATCTCGGGAACACGACGGTTTATTGTGAGTCCTCAACAAGGTTAATGAAATTGCGAGAAGCGCTGCAGGACGCGATGCTTTTCCAAGAAGCATACGAGGTCCTACTCGTCGAGCTCGACCTTGTCAAGGAGCCTGAAAGACGTCCAAGAGTACCTTCGTATTGGCTAACTCGAAATTTTAACGATTACTTGGATGTTCCAGTGATCGTGTGCGAGCGAGTATGGTCTTATCTTGAGAAGATGTCCTCATCAGAGTTGGGTCGAGACTCACCCGTGATAGAGGAAGCCCACTGTCACCTCCGACTTGCGGAAGCATTCCGGAGTGCTGCATTTGCCACCAAAGATGTTGAAACTGAAATGTTTCTCTATCGGCAATCTGGGTTTCATCGAAAAGAGGCGCTCTTAGTATATGAAGCTTGCGGCAGCCAAATGGGGATATCGAACGTTTTATTGTTTGATGCAAAACGCAATGGCCAATTCGACTTAAAGGACGACATTTTAACTGAGTGTGATAGGATATGCTCATTGTTCAGAGATCTTAATTCTCTGAAAGGTTCGCAAGAAACACTGTTGTGGAAGGCTGAGTTTCTGCATACCCACTTTAGAGATCCGGTGACAGAGTCATACACCCACCTCGAGCAGGTTGCTCACAAAGCGGGCGACCTATATCAATGGCATTTCTGCCGTCTAAAGAAACTACAGTGGTGGATAACCTCCAGTACTCTCGTGGACAACTGTTTGTTGGTTTTTCGACCGCCTCGAGCCTTCGTCAGCGCCAAACTAGGTTCAATAGCATCGCTCAACTTGAGCAAGGCGTACACTGCTTTCGGGGACTACTTCCAGGCCGAAATTGCGGGCTTTTTCCACTTACTTCTAGTGTCCTGCTGTGATGATAATGATCACATATATGCATCACTCATGAACTTGTTGCAGATTCAGAACGACCTGGTCATCGAACTTCCACATCACGTTCGTCAGATGGCCTTTTCATCTTGGACTCAAGGCTGGCTTCAGATATTGGTGAATATAAATTCGCGAGCTGTTGAGCTAATAGCGATGGGTTGGAGATCTCGAACATATGATATCATGAAGATGCTAGAGTTGGCTCTTTTAATTCCACGCACCGGAGCCAGCTTCAATTCCGATCTGCAACCGCAGGAAATGGGACTCCCGCCAGCTTTACACGTTTATATTCCTGTACTTGATCTCGGGATGGGCCTGCTTGAGCTGCTGCCACTGTTCTTCTGGCCAATATTTCTTGACCAGTTTGGGTTGACGTTGGGCATGGTATTGGAAAGCAGCGGAAATTATTCGCTTGCACTGGACACATATCGGCAGAGTCTCATTGCAAATCACCCAGGAAGTAAAAATTGCGCGAACAAACTCAAATTACGAGTTGGTGGCCTACTGATGAAACTTGGCAATCTGGCACCAAATCGCTACAGATATGCAGAGGCGGTTGCCGTGAAGGCGTTTGCGCAAGCCGAGTCGTTTTCTTGGGCTAATCTCTCCACCGATGACGGCTTTAAGGACGCAGTCTGGGCAAGCATTTCTCTGGCTTCATGTGCCCTTTCCGCGCTGAGGAAAGCTTCCTCTGAAACTACCGATGACGAGGACAAGATGGCTGTAACACAGGCACGCACCAGCAGAATAATGGAGGTATGCACCTCAGCGGTGAGGCGAGCTATCGGCCAGTGGTAAGTGAAGACGTCTCCAAATCTTCAAGTTTAGGCATTATAGAATCAGTTCAGCTGTTTACGATCGAACCTAGGCAAGGAGTACGACGCGAGCTTGTAGCGAGGTTAAAGTCTGACACATTGCGTCATCAACGGAGTTACTTAACTGGGAGGCTGTCGAGCAAACTCTTTTCCACTCAGCTTGATGTAGGAATTACATTAGCAGAGATGGAAAATACCGCAGGCAAGGATTTATGGCTGGCCGTACAGCAGTGGAAAGCCATCTCTCTTTCAGATCTCCTAAGGGACTCACAAATCTACATGCCTGATCCTTCAGCACTTAATGAGCAGGGGAGAAGTTTAATTGAGGAGGAGAGAAATCTTGTTGACAAAATCCAGGCCGCTGAGCCATATGAACGTCCAGGACTGCGGCGGAAATTGCGTTCGCATTGGCTTCACATGTCTTCGCATACTGGACTCACCATGTTTTCAACAATGAGACTTGGCATGGGCGCCAATTTCAATCATTTGAAAGAAATTCAGCAAGTCTCTGATCAACTGTCACGGCGAAGTGACTCCGTAATCTTCATCGATTGGGTCCGCCACCGTGATAACATCATTCTCTTTGCTGTTAAATCAGCACAAACGTCACAAACGATGCATTATTGGGGTTTGCCACTGAGCTATTCCAATGTGGAAGACTGGGCCTGTCGAAAATTGCGAGAGTTACAAGACCGCGGCTGTATTTCAATCCAGAAAAAACTTGAAAGCGCCGAAGACCTCAAAGAATTGAGCCCTCTGATAGATCCTTTGTGGCAAATTATCAAAGACGACGAACTCCTGGTTCTATGTCCAACTGGAGTTCTAAATGAGATACCAATACACGCCATTCCATTCAGTGGAAGTGACGATCCTCTTCTTACAACCAATCCGATTGTTTACTCGTCCAGTCACGCAATCATGAAATCTTGCGTTGATGCTGCCTTCCAAAAGATGAATTCGGCCAGGGTGAGCACAAAATTTACTGCCTTTGGAAGATTCGGAGACGTCGATCAGGCGGAGGCTGATCTCATAAACGAGATGGTAATGGATCTGGCCGGACAGTTCCATGGCTTTCATGCGACGGGAAGCGGTTTGAAAAGGGAGACGTTTATGGAACACACATCCAGTGCCGACTTTATTCACTATCACGGCCACGCAAGTTGCGAGTCAGATACCTCGATACGCTCTCTCATTCTTGAACCGAACGCCGGGAATGGAGATAACGGAAGGCTCAAGGTGGATGATATCTTCCAGCTCCAGCTCCAGTCAGCACATGTCACTCTCCTTGCGTGTGCGTCTGGGGAGCAGCAGTTCTCCTTCAACGACGATCCATTCGGAATAGTAACTGCCTTTCTCTGTGCTGGGGCTACCTCCGTCGTTGGAACACTGTGGCCTACTGATTGCCGCGATGCTAGGGACTTCTCCGACATATTTTATGAGCAGATTAAGGGGGAGGAGAACTCCATCATAAACTTGGCGAAGGTGATGCAGAAAACTGTATTGACTCTACGTGAGGATTGGAGTTATGATGACCCGTATCACTGGGCGCAATTTATGCTCTGTAAGTAATTTTTATTTTTATTTTTATTTTTATTTTATCCTTTGGATAAAAAGCTGCATGGCCCCGTTATTGCGAAATACTATGACTAAGATGTTTTAGATGGATCCTGGTTTTGTCCAAACGTCTCAAAGTAGCTTTGATAGGAGACTAGTATCTGAGGCCACAGAAGCCTTGAAGGACTAAGGGATAGGGATCAGGGTCTGGAATCTGGGACCTCGAATCCGCTGTTCTGCCTGTCGATGTCTTCCGTCGGGCGGCGGCAGAAGTAGTCTGCCTGGTGCTCTTCAGAGATGATGTTTCGACGCCGGCTCTTGGCACTACCAATGGCGGTGGTGAGTCGCCGAACTTCTGCCTCCACGTCCATCCACTGAATGTCAAACAGCAACCGCACATTGATCCAGAAGCCATTATACACGGCCAAGTTCGGATCGTGTCGCATAACCTGGTCCCGAACGATTACCCTCCGGATCCTTAAACAACATGTAAAAGCAGCCATCTCCACCAAGCTCTTTCGGACTCCGGGCCTCGCCGCCACGATGCTCAACTCTCTGCTTAATCTATAAAAGCAGCAATTAGCAAAGCCGCGGAGTACTAGAAAGCGAGGTTAAAAACTTAATATTATATAATAATAGAATTAATATAATAATTAAAGGGTTAAATTTTAAAGAATTTTATATGTCCCGCTAGTATCGAAATGCGAAGAAATGCTATGTGTATCTCGTAGATGTATTGGCCCCTAATTACGACAGAGATGTTTAGCCAAGCCAAAGCAATGGGAAGCGGCTTTCCGGGATAGTAGGTGGTTTACTTGAGGCTGGACGCTTTAAGAACTTATTGCTCCAGTAATGGTCGAGTTTTTCTCTAAAGAAGGCAAATGATTAGATAATAAGCAGTTACTCGAAAAGTTAACCCAAGAGATTATTGGAATTCCAATTCAAGCTCTGCGAGGAAATTATAATATAATAGCATCCTTTACCTGAGTAATGTGGGAGGGAAACTGCGACAAGACAAAAACCCACATAAAGTACACCAGAGCGCAAAACGTGACTTGACAGCAAAACAACAAATCAAAAGCGTAAACAGTAAAGCATAAACAGTATGTAGTGTGCAAAAGCTCAATTAATTGAATACTCATGAAGGATTCTTCTCTAAGTCTACAGAAAAACCAGCTTTCTTATGTGATTTCCGCAAGTCACGTGCAAAAGGCCGCGGCCTTTGCCATGTGACCTAAACCTCAAAACCGCCAAAACAACATGATTTTCGACGAGTACGGCCTGCCGTACCACAGTAATTAATAAACGACTTAAATATACCCCG